TTTTCTCACGGAGCACCTATTAATCTCGGACGGAACACCAGTGTCCCGTGGAACATAGTTTGGGAAACGCTGGTTTAAATAAATGAAAAACAATATTATAGATTCAGTAAATGCAAGTACCCTCTCTATGGCTAAAACTATTTTTAGGCTGTTGCTAACTTAAGTGTTTATCATAAGTACGTAAGCATGATTTGTGAATTGCACTAAAATCTTTATTGTGTTACACATTTCTTATTTTTTTTCACAAGAATTTGTTTTTAAAGTTTCTTAGTCTGTACCATGACTGCCTAAACTCTTTTGAATAAAGTTTAGTTTCAGTGGAAAACTTGTCCCTATTTTGTGGCTGAAGATCAATAGTTTATTTCTGTATTTATATTCAGTAAACTTACCAGTGATACAAACTAAAGCAATGCATTAAACACACTGTTTTTATATTCCATTTCTGTGAAATGTAAATCTCAGATTTAGTTCATTGTAATTCACTAATAAAATATTTGCCAACTTCAGGAGCATAATACTGAACATTGATATAGAAATGTAAAAATATATTGTATGCCATTGTTTTTTTATTTTTCATATATTAGTACTAACTGTTGTTTTATACAACTAATTATATAACTTATTATTATTGGTTCACTTCACATATACAAGACAAATGATTCCTTAATTTTGATATATTTAGTAATTTTACCAGTGTATCTCATTTGCAATGTTTGATAGAAGTGAAAAAGTAAGTATTACAATGTGTTGCTTTTAAGTTATTCCTGCTAATGTACCAGAGGCTCCAAGTGTCTTGTGTAAAGCTCCAATTTCGGGCAAACTTTCTGAACTTTGTATTTATTTATTATACCTAAAAGTTGGATTTTTGTGTTGTGTTTGTGAAAAGATAAAGTTAATAAACCTTGTGTAATGAGTTTATCCCAAAATCCTTGTTTTTATACATTAACTTCTGATGTGACTATCATAATTAGTATAATTTTATGCCTATATGAAACTGAAATTCACAGACTAACACTCTGGATTTGGATTACGTTATACATCAACTTTTACTTCATTTCAGCATATTGAAATTAACTTTGACAATTTTCTTCTTTTTAAACTTTTTTTATCAGATTTTGCCCGTATACATCAAAAGGCATTTCAGAAAATGGATTCACTGGATGATTATGTGCAGAAGAAAAAGATGCGAAGTCAGGAAATTACTAAATCATCAAAAAAGGATAGTGAAAGAATGAATGAACCTAAAGATGCTAGTCAATCAAGTAGTGTTCTACCAGTGGAGCCAGTAAGTGACTGTATAAGAAATTATTATTTACTTTCATAACATTTAACTCGCAAATGAATGATCAGCTTATTAAATTTTAATTAAAATAATGAAAGAAGTAGTACAGGCTGGAAAAATGGAAACCCCCTAATGTTTCTCTATTTGTTTGTTACTTGTTAATTGCAAAGATATACAATGGATTACACTGGGCAACAAAAAAATGTTTTCCTGCTACTAGAAAAATTCATTTACTACTGAGTAATTTGATGATGCTGATTCTAAAATTCACATTGAAATTTACTGATCACCTCTAGTTTTCAAGTTATGATCGATTTATTCAAAATATATTTATATATATCAAGAAAATAACTTTATTTATTCATTGAAAATTGTATTTAAAAATGTATAATCTGCAAGAGGAGCAGGAATCAATAGCTTAGTGTTCCCATTGTGCAAAAGTACAGCTTTCAGACTAACTTTAGATGAGTAAATAAAAAGTCTCCATTCTTGAGGATGATGTTCAGTACCCAATTCTTCCATTAGTGCATCAACATTTGTACAGAAGCACAAAGTATGTTGCATGTTGTAGTGAGAAGCAAGACTTTGATGGCAACTTTGGTAAACTGAAACTCTTATTCATGGAGCTAATAAATTCCATTGCTGTAAACAAAAGTCAAGAAGTTCCCCATGCTACCTTGATAGAGACAAGTCATGAATCCAACCATTTAGCTCTTCTTATGTGATCAAATGAGGCAGCCTATGTTATGGTTCCACAGGAATAGAATTACTAAATGAAGAGGATGAAGATGATTCATTATTTTCTTCACAGAATAACTCTTCTGTTTACCAGTTCATTAGTGGATGTGGCACTGGAAGACCATCCCCATGAGGTACTGCTTTCATTGCAGATGCAATATCTGGATAATTAATGTATTGTTTAATTTTGCCTGAATATCCAGAAACATTAGTTGTGCAAAAATAATAGTCAGTTAGATTATCTTTGGGCTCATGTTATGTCATGGGAACTACAAATAGCAAACTGTACAACATTCATGTGGAGCCCAATGTTTTTGTTGGTCAACTATTTTACACCCAGAATAGTGGTAGTAAGCGTGTGATGTTTTTAATTCATGAAACTGTAATATATATTCCATAACTATTGCAGAAACTACTTGGTTGATTTTTGCAGTTTAAGACTTCACATGAACTGGAGGCAGCCAACATTTCAAGTGATTTTCTAAGAAATATAAAATAATTTATTTGTACAGAACTAGAGCTTAAAGAATGTTAAAAAGCAATGTTTTGCAGAATTTGATTATATCACAGGTTTGATGCAAGGAAGAAGTTTGTGTCCAGATTGTGCATGGAGCAAGATGTCTGACTCTGCCCCTTTTATGCTCAGTCAAGGAACTTCTTGCAAACTGAGCATGTGAGGGTTTCCCGATTCCTGGGCAGAGCAAGTGACCGTGGGAATGAAGCACAAGTGGTGCAGTTTGCTACAATTATATCGTATTATTATATAATTATATAAATAGCATATATGAACAATTGTACACCAATACAATACTGTCAGTATTTGAAGTTATCAAAAATATATGCTTTTTACCAATTAAACCATCCAAGTAAACTTAATGTCACAATTTAAATCTACTGTACTGAGTTGATTGCGTGGTATTTCATATAGTATTGATAAAATATTGAGATATTACAATAACTCAAAATCTAGAGGTGTTGGACAAATTCTGACTACATTTTTGAACTCAGCACTGTTAAATTACCCAAAATCACTTGACTTTTTTCTCCAGTAACAAATTTTTTGTTGTCCAGTGGTATCTGTGTTGTACCCACTGTGGGTATTGAAACCCAGTTTTTAGCATAATAAGCCTTCAACCTTACCATTGAGCCACTGGATGACAGTTTCTTTACGGAGAGAAAAATAAACAGTGAATCGGTATATTGATTTTGCTGCTGTAAATGTAAAGTTTCTACTTGATGGTCTTATTGTTAATGATTTTGTTAATATTTTTATTTGTTTAATGATGTTATTATAATGACCAATATGGTAGAGAATAAGAATTAGTTTATTTTTTTGAAAAATAACTCATAATTATTGCTTTTTGAACAAAATAATGAAATAAGTTTTCTTATAAGAATTAATGAAAACAAATATAGGATGACAAGAAGCATGGTTTGACTAAGGTAAAAATCTCGGGACCCTTGGCTCACAGAAGTGTTCTGGGAGTGATACACTTAGCTGAGCTACCCAAACTCAAGTTCCAAACGGATAATTTTCCATTCTAACCATGGTGCTATTCTAGGCATCCTTTCCATAATGTATCACCCTGACTAGTTTTCTAGATGTGCATCATTCTGTATGTTCTTGAGTGAAGAAATAAGTACAAAATTTTTAAAAAATTAATAATTGAGTTGGCAAGGAAGAAAACTGCAGCAGAAAAAGTCTTAAGTAACTGTTATTGCTTGATATATATATATATTTAATGTTATTTAAATTTTCAATACATTTATTTGTTTTAACTTTCACTTGTAATTTTTACTTTATTTACCTAGTCTTCTGACAAGCAGATATTTTATTTTGTATTTAAAACTGACTATTGTTTAAGTACGAAGAATGCAGTCAGTGGCAATATCACGCAGATTGCCAACTCGAAAAAGTTTGTGTGAAATAGGAACTGAGACCTTTTTAACATCAATATCTCAATAGAATTACAGTTTATTTCACAGTATTAAAGTTTAATTTTATAACACATTTAGTAATTTAACATTAACCCAATAATGAATTACAATTTTGTTTCCCAAAGAAAACAATTTGGGGATTTACAATTACATAAAGAAAATCTTTCATCAACATATGTTGGTTGATTAAGCTGGCTCGACTTTAGGCAACTTTGAATTTTGAGTTGCTTTGCTGTTACTCTGCTTCAAGCTAAATCCTCTCTAACTTGCAACTGTTTGAACTATTTCTTATCTTTTTGTTTTGGTTCATCTTTGACCCTGATTGACTATGACCTATTTAATTTATCACCTTGTTGACACAGAATCAGGATAAGAGATTATTCCTACTAGGTAATGTATTCTATGTCAAACCTGGATAGAACTGCTCATTGGTGGACTTAATTGATGACAAATAACTTAATTCATGACTCATGCAAATGTTTTCAGTTGTTCACTTCTGAACTTTGATTGACACGGGCTGTGTCCAAACCTAATGGTTGTCTTTATCTCTCCTTGATCTTTGTGGCTTGGTTCTGTCTTAATTAATGCTAGTTTATCTTGTACATTACAGTCTTAAGTTTTTCACTAGTTTCTTGATCATATTCCTTGAATAACTGCTTGATCATGAATCCTTGTGTTTTTTATAAATCTTAATTCAAGCTATCATTTTGAATAAACTGTTCAAATGTTACATACACAACTGTTTAAAGTTTCCATTTGGAAGAAATTCTAGGTTTATATTGTTTCCTTTTATTAAATTCAGATGATGATATGAGCATATGACAACGTTTAACAGTGGTTGTGTTTTTGAAGAAAAGTTCATACTTGTAACTGTTTCATGATGGTTTAGTATAGACGAAAGCTTTTGAATTTTTTTTTAGGGGAGTTTATTAGTCCATTTTTGTATGAAAAAAAACAAATTGCTATTGTTGAATTGTTATTTTTATAACTGCATATGTCGGTTCTTATGTTATCAGTAGTCATTACCTTATTAACCAGTATTGCAAATTTATATAAAATTGGCTTAAATTTTTAATTTATGTGATTATGAAAAAGGGTACTTTTTTTTTATCCTGACTACATATTGGATTTGATAAATATTGAAATATTTGTTTATGAATGTAAACAATTGTTAATAGTTTTGTTCCATATAAAACAATATATAATTTACTATATTACTGCCAGGCATCTGTTGATAAAACATAATAGCTTAGCCTTTTTCTACCCATCTGTAATCAACACTGATTTAGCAGCATTTATAAAAGCTGGTATACCTGTGAATATTGAATGTTGTACAGTATATCTTTTTCTTCTTTTTTCTGAAATTGAATTCTGTCAAAATAAAATATATATATATATATATA